TTTTTCTTATGCTTTTACAGTAATGGTCCTATGCAGTATTTCTCCTTTTCTGTGACTGACTAATTTCACTCAGCAAAATGTCCTCAAGGTTCATCCGAGTTATGCGGTGGCTAGCAGCTTCCTTTTTATTCTTCAAGGTAGCTTAATATTCCATTGTGTGTATGTACCAAAGTTTGTTTATCCATTCTTTCATTGATGGGCACTTAGGCTGTCTCCATGCTTTTCCTATTGTAAACAGTGCTGCTATAAACATTGGTGTGCATATATCTACTCGTGTTATGACTTGCATTTTTTTGTGGATAAATACCAAGTAGAGAGATTGCTGGATCATAAGGTATTTCTATTTCTAACTTTCTGAGGAAGTGCCATACTATTTTGCAGAGTGATACATAAAGTTTTATAAAAGCTCAAAGTTTATTGTCATCCCTTATGCTCTTTTTCATTTTTAAAATAGTAACATGTATGGATGTATAGTTAAATAATATGTGTAGTGTTATTCAGAAGGTGTGATGAAAATGGACAGGCTGAATGAGATTAAATAATTAACATTGGAACTGAAATTTAGAAAAATAAATTGTATGTTGAGTTTGATATAATTGCATCTATAATGTAAACATGTTGTTGTTAAGTGCCGTTGAGTCAGTTCCAACCCATAGCGACCCTGTGTTAGGTTTCTGAGGAGCAACTGGTGAGCTTGAACCACTGACCTTGCAGTTCAAATGTCTTTGCAGTCTACTACATTAATCTACAGTGCCACACCAGGACTCCAATGTAAACATAGCTTTTTTAAACTTCCCTTAATTATAAATCTCATCCAAATCTTCCATGGCACTAAGTTCATGATCATTGAACTGAGCACCTTCTAGTATTTTCATGGTGTTGGTGGTGGTGGTTGTGTGTTGTAAGTTGGTTCCACCTCATAGCAACCTTCTGTTTCCGAGGCTGGAAATTCTTATGGGAGCAGAAAACCTCATCTTTCTCCCGTGGAATAGCTGGTAGTTTCAAACCACTGACCTTGAGGTTAACAGCCCGACTTGTAACCACTGTTACCAGAGCTCCATGGCTACAATAAAGTACCTTGGCAAAGATTCAATATTTGGCTAAACAACACTCTCACTTAGGAATGTGTATAGACTTAATTTCTCCTGACTTTTCATTTGTCTATGACATAACTAAATATAGTCTTTCAGTAGCTGACTGCTATTGGAAGTGAAAAATCTTTTAAATTGCTGTCTTTCTACCTTAATCTGTTTTTGTTCTTGATTTATCCCAGTGGCCGAGAAGACCAAAGAACAGGTAACAAATGTTGGAGAAGCGGTGGTAACAGGTGTGACAGCAGTAGCCCAGAAAACAGTGGAAGGAGCAGAAAACATTGCAGCTGCCACTGGCTTTGGCAAAAAGGATCAGATGGACAAGGTAGGTTTGTATACATCCAATGTTATATTCATAAGGTTTGAGGTCATGGTGCATTTTCACACAATTCACCAAGTAGGAAGAGGATGCTTATTATGGGTGGAAGGCTGACAGCTACTCCTCCATAGAAAAGTCCGACCCTTATATGTGTGTTGAATTTTTGATATATTAACCCTGCCATGAAAATTGTACAGTCATCATGATTTTTAAATTTTTTTTGGAAGAAAGTTTATGAAATGAACAATGTGGTAAATGCCGAAAGGCACAGTGGCATTTCAGAAAGAATGGGTGTTTTCATGTTAACTATGAATCTTGAAAATTCTTTGTTGGAATATAACTAATCTCTGTGTTTCTATGCGCATTTTCAAAACAAAGTGGCTGTACTGTACTTTTTATAATGACATCACTTCATACTGGATTCATATATTTTTTCATTAAATAACAATTCAATGACAAGTATTTTTGTGGAATCTGAGATTTAAATTGCATACCAACCTGAGTTCATGGTTTCTGGATGATAATTACTATTTTTTAATGTTTTATTGTGAATTATGTAAGAGTTTACATGAGAGAACATTTCTTTTACATTCATCCTATCATATATTGTTTCATTGCCATGGTTACAATCCCCTCCATGCATCCTCAACCAACCAAAGGGTATACCCTGCCAGCCTGTCCCCTGGTCGTCAACACACAGCCCCTTTCCCTCTCTGGGTCTAGAGTTCCAAGCCACTTCATCTC